AGGGTGCATGCACAGCGCGTTGGGGATAGGGTGCATGCACAGCGCGTTGGGGATAGGCTGCATGCACAGCGCGTTGGGGATAGGGTGCATGCACAGCGCGTTGGGGATAGGGTGCATGCACAGCGCGTTGGGGATAGGGTGCATGCACAGCGCGTTGGGGATAGGGTGCATGCACAGCGCGTTGGGGATAGGGTGCATGCACAGCGCGTTGGGGATAGGGTGCATGCACAGCGCGTTGGGGATAGGGTGCATGCACAGCGCGTTGGGGATAGGGTGCATGCACAGCGCGTTGGGGATAGGGTGCATGCACAGCGCGTTGGGGATAGGGTGCATGCACAGCGCGTTGGGGAGAGGCTGCATGCACAGCGCGTTGGGGAGAGGCTGCATGCACAGCGCGTTGGGGAGAGGGTGCATGCACAGCGCGTTGGGGATAGGGTGCATGCACAGCGCGTTGGGGATAGGGTGCATGCACAGCGCGTTGGGGATAGGGTGCATGCACAGCGCGTTGGGGATAGGGTGCATGCACAGCGCGTTGGGGATAGGCTGCATGCACAGCGCGTTGGGGATAGGGTGCATGCACAGCGCGTTGGGGATAGGGTGCATGCACAGCGCGTTGGGGATAGGGTGCATGCACAGCGCGTTGGGGATAGGGTGCATGCACAGCGCGTTGGGGATAGGGTGCATGCACAGCGCGTTGGGGATAGGGTGCATGCACAGCGCGTTGGGGATAGGGTGCATGCACAGCGCGTTGGGGATAGGGTGCATGCACAGCGCGTTGGGGATAGGGTGCATGCACAGCGCGTTGGGGATAGGGTGCATGCACAGCGCGTTGGGGATAGGGTGCATGCACAGCGCGTTGGGGATAGGGTGCATGCACAGCGCGTTGGGGATAGGGTGCATGCACAGCGCGTTGGGGATAGGGTGCATGCACAGCGCGTTGGGGATAGGGTGCATGCACAGCGCGTTGGGGATAGGGTGCATGCACAGCGCGTTGGGGATAGGGTGCATGCACAGCGCGTTGGGGATAGGGTGCATGCACAGCGCGTTGGGGATAGGGTGCATGCACAGCGCGTTGGGGATAGGGTGCATGCACAGCGCGTTGGGGATAGGGTGCATGCACAGCGCGTTGGGGATAGGGTGCATGCACAGCGCGTTGGGGAGAGGCTGCATGCACAGCGCGTTGGGGAGAGGCTGCATGCACAGCGCGTTGGGGAGAGGCTGCATGCACAGCGCGTTGGGGAGAGGCTGCATGCACAGCGCGTTGGGGAGAGGCTGCATGCACAGCGCGTTGGGGAGAGGCTGCATGCACAGCGCGTTGGGGATAGGGTGCATGCACAGCGCGTTGGGGATAGGGTGCATGCACAGCGCGTTGGGGATAGGGTGCATGCACAGCGCGTTGGGGATAGGGTGCATGCACAGCGCGTTGGGGATAGGGTGCATGCACAGCGCGTTGGGGATAGGGTGCATGCACAGCGCGTTGGGGATAGGGTGCATGCACAGCGCGTTGGGGATAGGGTGCATGCACAGCGCGTTGGGGATAGGGTGCATGCACAGCGCGTTGGGGATAGGGTGCATGCACAGCGCGTTGGGGATAGGGTGCATGCACAGCGCGTTGGGGATAGGGTGCATGCACAGCGCGTTGGGGATAGGGTGCATGCACAGCGCGTTGGGGATAGGGTGCATGCACAGCGCGTTGGGGATAGGGTGCATGCACAGCGCGTTGGGGATAGGGTGCATGCACAGCGCGTTGGGGATAGGGTGCATGCACAGCGCGTTGGGGATAGGGTGCATGCACAGCGCGTTGGGGATAGGGTGCATGCACAGCGCGTTGGGGATAGGGTGCATGCACAGCGCGTTGGGGATAGGGTGCATGCACAGCGCGTTGGGGATAGGGTGCATGCACAGCGCGTTGGGGATAGGGTGCATGCACAGCGCGTTGGGGATAGGGTGCATGCACAGCGCGTTGGGGATAGGGTGCATGCACAGCGCGTTGGGGATAGGGTGCATGCACAGCGCGTTGGGGATAGGGTGCATGCACAGCGCGTTGGGGATAGGGTGCATGCACAGCGCGTTGGGGATAGGGTGCATGCACAGCGCGTTGGGGATAGGGTGCATGCACAGCGCGTTGGGGATAGGGTGCATGCACAGCGCGTTGGGGATAGGGTGCATGCACAGCGCGTTGGGGATAGGGTGCATGCACAGCGCGTTGGGGATAGGGTGCATGCACAGCGCGTTGGGGATAGGGTGCATGCACAGCGCGTTGGGGATAGGGTGCATGCACAGCGCGTTGGGGATAGGGTGCATGCACAGCGCGTTGGGGATAGGGTGCATGCACAGCGCGTTGGGGATAGGGTGCATGCACAGCGCGTTGGGGAGAGGCTGCATGCACAGCGCGTTGGGGAGAGGCTGCATGCACAGCGCGTTGGGGAGAGGCTGCATGCACAGCGCGTTGGGGAGAGGCTGCATGCACAGCGCGTTGGGGAGAGGCTGCATGCACAGCGCGTTGGGGATAGGGTGCATGCACAGCGCGTTGGGGATAGGGTGCATGCACAGCGCGTTGGGGATAGGGTGCATGCACAGCGCGTTGGGGATAGGGTGCATGCACAGCGCGTTGGGGATAGGGTGCATGCACAGCGCGTTGGGGATAGGGTGCATGCACAGCGCGTTGGGGATAGGGTGCATGCACAGCGCGTTGGGGATAGGGTGCATGCACAGCGCGTTGGGGATAGGGTGCATGCACAGCGCGTTGGGGATAGGGTGCATGCACAGCGCGTTGGGGATAGGGTCATGCACAGCGCGTTGGGGATAGGGTGCATGCACAGCGCGTTGGGGATAGGGTGCATGCACAGCGCGTTGGGGATAGGGTGCATGCACAGCGCGTTGGGGATAGGGTGCATGCACAGCGCGTTGGGGATAGGGTGCATGCACAGCGCGTTGGGGATAGGGTGCATGCACAGCGCGTTGGGGATAGGGTGCATGCACAGCGCGTTGGGGATAGGGTGCATGCACAGCGCGTTGGGGATAGGGTGCATGCACAGCGCGTTGGGGATAGGGTGCATGCACAGCGCGTTGGGGATAGGGTGCATGCACAGCGCGTTGGGGATAGGGTGCATGCACAGCGCGTTGGGGATAGGGTGCATGCACAGCGCGTTGGGGATAGGGTGCATGCACAGCGCGTTGGGGATAGGGTGCATGCACAGCGCGTTGGGGATAGGGTGCATGCACAGCGCGTTGGGGATAGGGTGCATGCACAGCGCGTTGGGGATAGGGTGCATGCACAGCGCGTTGGGGATAGGGTGCATGCACAGCGCGTTGGGGATAGGGTGCATGCACAGCGCGTTGGGGATAGGGTGCATGCACAGCGCGTTGGGGATAGGGTGCATGCACAGCGCGTTGGGGATAGGGTGCATGCACAGCGCGTTGGGGATAGGGTGCATGCACAGCGCGTTGGGGATAGGGTGCATGCACAGCGCGTTGGGGATAGGGTGCATGCACAGCGCGTTGGGGATAGGGTGCATGCACAGCGCGTTGGGGATAGGGTGCATGCACAGCGCGTTGGGGATAGGGTGCATGCACAGCGCGTTGGGGATAGGGTGCATGCACAGCGCGTTGGGGATAGGGTGCATGCACAGCGCGTTGGGGATAGGGTGCATGCACAGCGCGTTGGGGATAGGGTGCATGCACAGCGCGTTGGGGATAGGGTGCATGCACAGCGCGTTGGGGATAGGGTGCATGCACAGCGCGTTGGGGATAGGGTGCATGCACAGCGCGTTGGGGATAGGGTGCATGCACAGTGCATGCACAGCTGGGTGCACAGCTGGGTGGTGTGGAGTGCCGTGGCGTGCTTGCTCTGTGGGGCCAGCGACCAGTGCCGTGGGACGTGCATCCCATACTCGTGGGCAATCCGTGTGAGTGGTGGTTCAGCATCCAAGCGCAGCGCAGGCGTGCAGTGGCAGTGGAGAGTAAGTGGAGAAATCGTCAGTCCATGTGCCGTTGCAGCTGTGTGTTTCAACGTGAGAGGAAAAACTCTCCGGCGGTCCGTGTGGTGCTGCTTACACTTTCTCTCGGCTGCCCAGCCGATGGCGTGCGGTGCAGGCCAGATCTCCTCGCACAATCTCCTTGCACGATCTTGGTGAAACCTTTGTTTTTTTGGTGTGGCGGGGCGGGGCGTGACATTGATGAGTTTGTTGTGATTTGTACTAGTGTCGGGCTTGATTCCCCAGCCCAGGGGGTGGCTAGATAGGGAGGGAGTTGTGGGAGATGGCTGGCAACCCTGTCCTTGCAGTCACACCTTAGGCAAGGGACTTGTATGGGCACTCCCATTGGAAAAGCAAGGGCAGTCGCAGCGGCAGGAGGGAAGAGGCTCTCATGCCACTGGCGGGAAGAGGCTCTCATGCCACTGGCGGGAAGAGGCGGCACGAGGTGCTGGCCGTGCGATGAGGGACGAGGTGATATCGCTGTTGCCAGCTGGGCCCGCACCGCAGCACCCCGGCTCGGTTGGCGATGACAACAGCACCCCGGTTGGCCCGGTTGGCATCGGAGAGGCGCCCATGGCTTTGCAGCTGTCTTGTTCTCCAGCTTGGCTGAATTGAAATGCCCTGGGGGTGCTGTTTTGAGTCGACTCAAAACAACACCCTCAGGGCATCGCTCTCTCACTTCTCGCTCTCTCGCTACCTCCCTCTCTGTCTCGCCCCTACCGACTCATTCACTCGCCACCGCCTTTGCTGCAACCAGGCTGGATTTCATAGCACAGGCGCACAGGCGCACAGGCAGGGGGTGGCAGTGTAGCTTCTACTTGGCCCCTGCCTACCCGTCACCCACCCCGACCTTCTCCCTTCCAATCCCCCACCACCCACCACCAGGCTCGACTTCATATCACAGGTGAAGCGCCAGGGCGTGCCCGTGCAGGCGCTCGGCCCCTGCGTGTCCGCCTCCCACCATGGCCCTCTCCCTTCCAATCTCCCTCTACTTCTCTACCTCCCTCTGCCCCCTCCTGCCAGGCTGGACTTCATATCACAGGTGGAGCGCCAGGGCGTGCCCGTGCAGAAACTGGGTCCCTGCCTGCCCGCCGCTGACCCCGCCCACGCCTCGCCAGCAGAGGTGCAGCGCCGGCTGTGCGCCCACCGCTTTGCGCTGCTGTTTGAGGAGCTCGCGCCGCTGCACGTCATGTCGGCCCACTTCTGGGCCGCACTGGCCTGCGGCACCGTGCCCCTCGTGCTGGCCAAGGGCAGCGTAGCCTTGTTCTCCCCGGCTGATAACGCCTTCCTGCAGGTGAGTTGGCTTCTAACCTTTGAGTCGGCTCAAGAGTCAGCTGGCGTGCGGCACCGTGCCCATCGTGCTGGCCAACGGCAGCATCGCCCTCTTCTTTCCGGCTGATAACGCCTTCCTGCAGGTGCAGCACTTGCCACCAGAATCCGTGCTGCACTTGCCACCAGAATCCGTGCAGCACTTGCCACCAGAATCCGTGCTGCACTTGCCACCAGAATCCGTGCTGCACTTGCCACCAGAATCCGTGCTGCACTTGCCACCAGAATCCGTGCTGCACTTGCCACCAGAATCCGTGCTGCACTTGCCACCAGAATCTCAATCATTTTCAGACCTTCTTGCAAGCTTCAACAGTGTCCCAAGCCTTTCTGCAGGTGCTGGGTGCTGCACGCATGAACAGTGTTGCAACCCTTGCTGCACGCATGAACAGTGTTGCAACCCTTGCTGCACGCATGAACAGTGTTGCAACCCTTGCTGCACGCATGAACAGTGTTGCAACCCTTGCTGCACGCATGAACAGTGTTGCAACCCTTGCTGCACGCATGAACAGTGTTGCAACCCTTGCTGCACGCATGAACAGTGTTGCAACCCTTGCTGCACGCATGAACAGTGTTGCAACCCTTGCTGCACGCATGAACAGTGTTGCACTCCTTGCTGCATTCGCCTCATCCATGACTTGGTGACGTCGCTTCTCCCTCCGTGAAGCGTGCCAATCCTTTCCAATCTTCTTCCCTCCCTCCCTCCCTCCCTCCCTCCCTCCCTCCCTCCCTCCCTCCCTCCCTCCCTCCCTCCCTCCCTCCCTCCCTCCCTCCCTCCCTCCCTCCCTCCCTCCCTCCCTCTCTCCCTCCCTCCCTCCCTCCCTCCCTCCCTCCCTCCCTCCCTCCCTCCCTCCCTCCCTCCCTCCCTCCCTCCCTCCCTCCCTCCCTCCCTCCCTCCCTCCCTCCCTCCCTCCCTCCCTCCCTCCCTCCCTCCCTCCCTCCCTCCCTCCCTCCCTCCCTCCCTCCCTCCCTCCCTCCCTCCCTCCCTCCCTCCCTCCCTCCCTCCCTCCCTCCCTCCCTCCCTCCCTCCCTCCCTCCCTCCCTCCCTCCCTCCCTCCCTCCCTCCCTCCCTCCCTCCCTCCCTCCCTCCCTCCCTCCCTCCCTCTCTCCCTCCCCCACTCCAACCCTCCTCCCTCCCACACCTACCTGCACGGAACGAGCGGGCAGGTGGGGCGGGGGGACGAGGTGCGGCAGGTGGGGGAGTGGGCGGGGTATCTGCAGCAGTCGCAGCGCGCCTACAGCGACATGACGCGGTGGAAGGCAGACGTTCCCTCCGATGCCTTCCTCGCCCTCCTCGACCTCTCCATCGTCCCACCGCACTGCCGCCTCTGCATCCACCTCGCCACCAAGGTGTGTCCCCCGCCACCAAGGTGTGTCCCCTGCCACCAAGGTGTGTCCCCTGCCACCGAGGTGCATCCACCTCGCCACCAAGGTGTGCCCTTCCCTCACCACACAATGCTGGCATGCTGCCAGCCATGGCGTTAATGCCATTCGTGGTTGCACGCGGGACGTGGCTTTTGAGCTGCAAACCTAACCGGGCGTGTTATGTAGTCTTCTCGTACCGCCCGTCATCCTTCCCTTTTCTTCCCACTATGCTGTCTTCCTTGCTGCGCTGTACTCTTCCTTTCACTTTGCTGTCTTCCCTATCGCTCCGCTGTTTGCCATGCTGCTAACCACCACATGCCTGAACGCCTTCTCCAACTCACTGCTGTTAACCTGTTTTCTTGTTTCTTATTGGCATCATGGCAATGGCGCTTGGGACATGGCATTGGGCGCATGGCATTGGGCGCATGGCATTGGGCGCATGGCATTGGGCGCATGGCATTGGGCGCATGGCATTGGGCGCATGGCATTGGGCGCATGGCATTGGGCGCATGGCATTGGGCGCATGGCATTGGGCGCATGGCATTGGGCGCATGGCATTGGGCGCATGGCATTGGGCGCATGGCATTGGGCGCATGGCATTGGGCGCATGGCATTGGGCGCATGGCATTGGGCGCATGGCATTGGGCGCATGGCATTGGGCGCATGGCATTGGGCGCATGGCATTGGGCGCATGGCATTGGGCGCATGGCATTGGGCGCATGGCATTGGGCGCATGGCATTGGGCGCATGGCATTGGGCGCATGGCATTGGGCGCATGGCATTGGGCGCATGGCATTGGGCGCATGGCATTGGGCGCATGGCATTGGGCGCATGGCATTGGGCGCATGGCATTGGGCGCATGGCATTGGGCGCATGGCATTGGGCGCATGGCATTGGGCGCATGGCATTGGGCGCATGGCATTGGGCGCATGGCATTGGGCGCATGGCATTGGGCGCATGGCATTGGGCGCATGGCATTGGGCGCATGGCATTGGGCGCATGGCATTGGGCGCATGGCATTGGGCGCATGGCATTGGGCGCATGGCATTGGGCGCATGGCATTGGGCGCATGGCATTGGGCGCATGGCATTGGGCGCATGGCATTGGGCGCATGGCATTGGGCGCATGGCATTGGGCGCATGGCATTGGGCGCATGGCATTCTGCACGTGAATGGCAGCACCTGGTGGCGTGGGATGAGAGCAGCACGAGGAAGGTGTGTCGGTGCTGGGAGGAGGCCGCCAACACGACCCTCTACCACCTCTACGTGCGCGAGCGCGGCACCTTTGCCTTCCACTCCCTCTTCCTCAAGTGAGCCCCACCGTCCGCACCATCCCCACCTCTCCACCATCCCCACCATCTGCATCATCTCCTCTCACCTGGGACCAGCGTCTTTCCCGAGCACAGGCACATGAGCACAGGCACATGAGCATCCTAGCTCACACATTGAGCGTGTATGCATTCATCACACACGAGGCGTGTATATAATCTCCTCACATATCCTCAACAAGGACCACTCCTTTACCTGGGCATCTCTTATGCGCTGTGCATGTTCTCCCACTAATCGAATGCTCATTCTCCTCTTTCCCTTCCCCCACCCTCCCCGTTTCCTCCCCCCTTTTTCCGCCCCAATCCCTCCAATTCCCTACCCCCCCTCCTTCCCCCCTCACTCCCGTCACCCCCCCGTGCAGGTCATCGGAGCTCACCATGGCGCACCTAGTGCGGGCCATCTACCGCCTCTACCACCGCCTCGACTACCGCCCGCTCTGGCACGGCCACCGCCCCGACGCTCTGTCGGCAGGCGGGGCAGCAGCGGTGCGGGTGCTGCGGGTGTACCCGGTGGAGTCATCCCAGGAGATGGTGCTGCACGGCTCCGGTGCTTTTCGCCGCGACCGGCAGCTGCAGGACTTTGTGGAAGCCACTCCGTGCCCACGCCTTGAAATCATCCTAGTGTGATGCGCAGTAGATAGATGAACACAAGGGTGTCCAGCAGCGCAGTGACTCATTCGCGCTGGATGTCCTTCACTTTTGGCCAGTCGGTGATGGGCCTCTGGCTGGTTGGTTGTGGTGGCTTGCTCCGCAGTGGACTGCCTTCTAACAGAGCGTTTCTTTGTGCTTCCTAGAGTGGAATAAGGATTATAAGGATTCCTTATACCCTTGCTGCAGGTACAGCATAGCAACCCTTGAAGTTATTGGAACCATCAAGATAAGGTGGGTCAAACCTCCGGTACATTGTACGCCAATTGAATGAATGCCCTAACAGCAAGATGTTTGTACAACTAACCACGGTACAGGGTCCTTGCCCTGAAATCAAAATGGCAGCATTTTTTGCCTGAAACCAACACGATTGCATCTTTGGCCTGGAAGGAACTGGCAACCCCTTTGCACCGTGTAGTCTCGAACTTTGTTCCACAATTGCGGATGAATTCCCTGCTGTATGGGTACTGATCAGGCCCCTAAATTCGTTTTGAGGCACTCTGATCGAACAGCGTACACCCCTCCTGGAACTTTGAATTTGAGGCTGGAAATTCAGACAAGCACATCTTTTTTTGTCTAAACGGTCAGTCAGAGTTACCTTTTGTCAAATGATATATATGTGTGATATATATTGGTAGGCTGTAGTGGGGTAGATGTTGTAGGAGATAACACTTTAGGGTTGTGTTATTTGTACCAAACTCTCCATAGTGAACTCAACCTTGCCTGATTCTCTCGACATGGTATCAGAGCAGGTTCCTAGACCTAAGCTTAAGGGCCCACCATGTGCTAAGTTACCTCCCCAACGGCCTACCTGCCTGCCTTGCATACGTATCTGCCTAGCCTGCTGCCCGCGCGCGCCTCGGCTGCGCGCGCACGCCTTTTTTTTTTTAGCGCGCACAGCTGCTGCCATCCGCGTCGCGCCCCGTAGGTCGCTGGTGCAGCCCGCCCTGAGCCCGCGCGGCCCGCAGCTGCCCTGCGCACCGTCCGTGCAGCCCGCGCCGAGCCCGCACGGCCCGCACTGAGCCCGCGCAGCCCGCGCGCAGCCCGCGCCGAGCCCGCGCGGCCCGCACTGAGCCTGCGCAGCCCGCGCGCAGCCCGCGCAGCCCGCTCGCAGTCCGCACGCGGCCCGCGCACCGCCCGCGCAGCTCACGTCGCGCCCCGCCAGCCTACACGCGGCCTGTCACAGAACTGCGTGCTTCCTTACCTGCTACAGTTGCCTGTTGCCTGAGCCTGCAGCCTTTGCCTGCTGCCTGAACCTGCAGTCTTTGCCTGCTGCCTGAGCCTGCTGCCTGAGCCTGCTGCCTGAGCCTGCTGCCTGAGCCTGCTGCCTGAGCCTGCTACTTTTGACTGCGCTGCAACCATGGCGACCCTTACTGTTCTCGCCTTTGAGCCTGACGGCCGCCCCATCGAGTTTGACACCTGGCTTAGTGACCTGCGCCTTTACCTTATGACTGACGTCGCAGACGGAGTGTCACTGCTAGCCTATGTGACCGGCACTGTCCCTACTCCCGCTGAGACTGCTCCTGCCCCTGAACGAGCACAGTGGGAGCTCCGCGATGCAGTCGCGCGCCTTGTTATTCGCAATCACCTACCGATCTCTGAGCGCGCGCATTTCAACCAGCTTAAGACTGCTAAGACGCTGTATGATGCTGTCGTTGCCCGCTATTCCGCCCCGGCCACAGCCACCGTTGGTAGTCTCATCCTGCCTTACCTGTTCCCAGACTTAGCCTCGTTTCACACTGCTGCCGACCTTATCACTCACCTCCGCGCTAGTGACGCCCGCTTTCGAGCCGCTCTTACCAACGAGTTCCTCGCCACGAACACCCCCCCGCTGTACTTCACCCTCTACATCCTCGTCACCCGCCTCCCTGACACTCTTCGCTCTGTCAGGGATTACTTCCTTGCCAAGGATCCTCCAACTATCACTCTGGACGACTTCGAGCAGCAGCTGGTCGCAGCAGAGAAGAACATCCTCGCTGTCGGTGCTGCTCGTGGCACTCCCCGCACTCCCCTCTTTGAGGGGTGCTCCCCCTCCCCTCTTGACCCCTCCTACGCCTCTGCTGCTACTGCTGTCGACTTCCTCGGTGCGGAGAAGGTCGCAGCGGCTTCCGCTCCTGGTGGGAAGCGTGGTGGTGGCAGGGGCGGCAAGGGTGGCAGGGGTGGCGGAGGTGGCGGTGGAGGGAGCGGTGGTGGAGGCGGCGGGGGTGGTGGAGGTGGTGGGGGTGGCCGTGGGGGTGGAGGCGGTGGGTGGGGTGGCGGCAGGACCGGGGGCGGTGGAGGCGGCAGCGGCGGTGGTGGGGGAGGAGGCAGCGGCAGTGGCGGTGGAGGTGGGAGTGGGGGTGGATCTGGCCAGAAGGGTGGCCAGCAGCAGCAGCAGCAGCAACAGCCACAGCAGCAGCAGCAGCTTCCTCCCCTCACCTCCCAGCAGCTCAATGACTGGTATGCTGGGCGTGGGGCGTCTCGGGGTTCTGACCGCTGCCCCTATGTCATTCGTACTGGCCCCCGCAAGGGTCGCCCCTGCAACGGTTTTCACACTGAGTATCGTTGTTTTGCTAGGCTTAGTGACGCCTGGCGTACTAAGTATCCTGATGCTACTGAGTTCCCCAACTGGGCCGAGCTGCTTAGGCGTGATGTGCCTATCTTTGATCTGGACTATGATGTTATTCTTGCTGCCATGTATGCATTGACTGTTAGTGCTGAGGGTGACTGCTACTTGTGTGTGCCGCCTGACCCCGGTATAAGGACTGCAGCCCTAGGTGCTAGTGAGTCTGCTCCCCTTGGTACTGAGTCGGCTCAGGCCTTGCACACGTTTACACTTGACTCTGGTGCTTCCCGCTGTTTCTTTCACGATAGCACCACCGTCACTCCCCTCCCTGCACCTGTCCCTGTCTCCCTGGCTGACCCCTCTGGGGGCCCAGTGCTTGCACGAGCCACGACTGTGCTCCCGTGCCCGGCGGTCCCGTCTGGTGAGCTGTCAGGTCTCCTCGTTCCCTCGTTCTCTACGAACCTGGTGAGCAACGCCGTCCTCCAGGATCACTGGGTTGACACCTGGACTCCTGGAGGGCAGCGTGTGGCGATCTGCACGTGCTCCAAGACTGGCCGCCACCTGGCCACGTTCACTCGTGAGCCGGGGTCCAGTCTGTACACCCTCACCACTGTTTCACGCTCCGCTCCTTTGTCTCCGCAGCTGTACGCGTCTGCTCAGGTAGCTACCCAGTGTGAGTGCCGCCGCCTGTCGCACGACACGCTCCTGTGGCACCACCGCCTTGGTCACCCCTCCCTGCCTCGCCTTCGTAGCATGCACTCTCGCTCTCTGGTCTCTGGGCTTCCCAGGTCTCTGCCTGCCCTCCCTCCCTCGCCTGCGCCGCCCTGCATTCCCTGCGTCGAGGGGCGGCAGCGCGCCGCTCCTCACTCCTCCTCGTTTCCTCCCACAGAGGCTCCCCTGCAGACGCTTCACCTGGACGTGTGGGGCCCAGCCCGCGTCCAGGGACAGGGCCGTGAGCGGTACTTTCTGCTGGTTGTCGACGACTTCACGCGTTACACCACGGTCTTCCCCTTGCGCAGCAAGGGAGACGTCCCTGCTGTTTTGATCCCCTGGATCCGCGCTGTGCGTCTCCAGCTCCGCGAGCGGTTCGAGCGGGACTTTCCTGTCCTGCGTCTGCACTCTGACAGAGGTGGTGAGTTCTCCTCTGACCTCTTGGCAGCCTTCTGTGCGGAGCACGGCATCACCCAGTCGTTCACGCTTCCGGCCTCTCCGCAGCAGAATGGGGTTGCTGAGCGCCGCATTGGCTTAGTCATGGAGGTCGCTCGTACCTCCATGATCCATGCGGCTGCCCCCCATTTTCTGTGGCCGTTCGCGGTCCGGTACGCCGCGCATCAGCTCAACCTCTGGCCCCGTGTCTCCTTGCCGGAGACCTCGCCCACACTGCTGTGGACAGGGGAGGTTGGCGATGCGTCGCGTTTCCGGGTCTGGGGTGCTCGTGCCTTTGTCCGCGATCTCACCGCGGACAAGCTCTCTGCTCGCGCCATTCCCTGCGTCTTCCTTGGTTTTCCTCCTGACGCGCCTGGCTGGCAGTTTTACGACCCCACCTCGCGCCGTGTCTTTGCGTCTCAGGACGTCACCTTTGACGAGTCTGTTCCCTTCTACCGTCTCTTTCCCTACCGCACTGTGCCTCGCCCCCCCCCGCCGCTCTTTCTCGCTCCAGGTCCTCCCCAGGTAGACCCCCTCCCCGCGCCAGGTCCTGCTCCTTCAGGTGTTTCTCAGGTAGACCCTCCGGTACCTGCGCCTGTTGAGGTCACTGGTGACTCAGGTCCTGCTGGAGGTGGTCCTGCTCGGGGTGCTGTCTCTGGGGGTGCTGAGCCTGGGGGTGCGGAGCCTGAGCGAGAGGCGCCTAGAGGTGCTGAGCCTGGGGGTGCGGAGTCTGGGGGTGCCGTGCCTGCGCGTGAGGAGCCTGGCGGTGCTGAGCTTGGGGGTGTCGAGTCTGAGGGTGCTGTGCCTGCGCGTGAGGAGCCTGGAGGTGCTGAGCTTGCGGGTGCCGAGTCTGCGGGTACTGAGCCTACGCGTGAGGAGCCTGGAGGTGCTGGCGCTGGAGGTTCTGGAGCAGCTGGGGGTGCTGGCGCTGAGGGTTCTGAGTCTGCTGTTGCGCGGTCTCCTTGGAGTAGCCGCCTTCGTCCACGTGTGCCTCTCACCCCACAGCAGCTGCAGGACTGGTACGGTCACCGTCAGCGTCGCGCTGCTGGAGCTAGGAGTGGTGCTGGACCTTTGTCTACTGGAGGTGCTGGAGTCGCTGGTTCTGGAGGTGCTCGTACTGGAGACACTGAGGCTGGAGACCCTGGGACTGGAGGTGCTGACTCTGGGGGTGCTGCTGCTGGCGACACTGAGGCTGGAGACCCTGGGACTGGGGGTGCTGGTTCTGGGGGTGCTACTGCTGGAGACACAGAGGCTGGAGACCCTGGGACTGGAGGTGTCGGCTCTGGGA